TTGCTAATTCATAACTAATTTTGTTACTGTTATGAATCGGGCGACCCCTGTGAAAGGGTTATTTGATGCCCCAAAGGGGTCGCAACCTACAGGTTGAGAACTGCTGGGTTAGAGAGAGAAGGTGTATCGGACCCTCCACTTAACACTTGGCTGACCAGCTATTTCAAGCCAAAACTATCCCATGCAGCAGGCGCCTATAAAGACCTTTAATGCTTTCAGGCTGACAAACTGCAGAAACTCAAGGAAGGGCAAACATGACGTGGTCGTTACATAATCTGGTGCCAATTTGAGACTATTCAGAGTGAAGGGATTGAGTTTAGCCTGAGTTTAGTCAATCAGGTAGCTGGTCGATGACCTCATTTGGAGACGCTACGGAGATAAACAGTCCACTGGAAGCAGGACAGGCACAGTCTCTGCTTGGCATTCCTGTTGACAAGACACATGGAGCTACATCAGAACCCTGGAGCTGGTGAAGCCACGGGGAGACCCCTGCCAGCACTGAGATGCTTCCACCGCCACTGGATCCACAAGACTTTCCACCCACTGGCTTGCGATCTTTGCATTCGGCGTCATTGCATGTGTTTCATGAGTCTGAAGAGGAATTTATAGATTGGTATCGGACCTATGGGCTAATATTGAACTTATGGACCTGATCTGGAATGGGCTGGGATGTTTTCTCAATATTCTAATTGCTCTTGGATATAAAGCTCTTTCTTAGACACATATGAGTGTCTATAAATTTGTTTCTCTCTAAAAAAAAAAATTGTTTCTCTAGTCTACCCAGACTAACACACATGAGTTAACTTGTCAGTGGTCAGAAATAGGTTGACAGGAATCAGCCTTGAGATGAGGCTGAGGGCAAAGTCTCTCTCCACCTTGTGAAGGTACAGGTGGTTAGACTCCCCTGTCTTGGCATTTTCACAACAGTGAATGTATCCACAGAGTCCCCGGTCCTATAATATGTTCAATGTCAAGTGCTAAACTCATCCCATCTATTCTGGTGTGGGAAACAGAAAAGTTATTCCCCAGGTTGTCCTCCCGTAATATATGCCAAACCGAAGATACTGACTATACACTTAGAGGTCAAGTGCTTAAAGGTTATCTGCCTGAAACTTATCAGCCATCTAGAGCCTCCAGACCCTAGAGTCTGTCCCACCCTAGGTAGAGCCCACTCCCTTCTGATAAGGATGTTGCATTGTTCCCCTGAAGGAGAGCCCAAAGACATCTAAGGTCAAGCCAACTCAGGGACGACCAAGGTTAGGCTGCCATCTTGACTCTAGAGCCTGCCTGTCTTGTTATGTGTGTGCCTTCCTGTCACATGTGTGCCTACTGGACAACCCCTTCCTGTTACGCATGTGGTTACCTGTAATTAGGGAGACTGGCACGCCCCCTGAGTGTATATAAACCTTGGTTGGAAATACATTCTCTCTGTGCTGATCTGGCTCTTGAGGTGAGAACTAGTATGTTTTGTCTTGTCTGATGTCTCTTTAATTTGACCCCTCAATGACACAACCACCCCTTGCACCTATCTGATTGTGGGGGCCGGTACCCCACATTCCAGTGCTATATTGCCTGACAATGCAGTAACTGTTTATTCCTCCACAGCTTTTAGTTTTTAAAATGTTTACTTCTTGGTTGAACTAGTGTTTTAGAGGCCTCTACAGATCCATTAGTAAACAACGGAAGATACAAAATCAATACAAGTCACCTGAGTCTGGACCATCTTCGTGTGCTCTTGGGACATTATCAGCAATTGGGATGCCCTGTGTCTGTGTTCGCCGGATCCGATCTAAATTCTGTTCAGAAATTCCAGTGCCCCGGCACGCATGTCCCCAGCATGACGATATCCAAATTCTGCAACCTCTTCTTTCCTTCGAACAACTCTCTTGCTGCTGAGGTTTCAGGACCTGTGGGTTGAGGGGGAAATTCAATGAGTAGAACATTGCCCTTTTGGCCCAGATACCGTCACTGCTCCTACCACTCTCCTTAACCAAAAGCCCTCGTTATTGTCGGCTGCCCCTTATTTGGGATCTCAGAATGTGGGAAACAGAATGATTTCTCCCAAGTGGTCTCCCCCAAATATATGCCAAACCCAAGATGCTGCTTGCTGCACTAGGAGGTCATTGAAAGTAGGTCAGAGGTTACTCTCCTTAAGGGTATCAGCCATCTAGAGCAACCAGACTGTATAGTCGGACTCACCCAAGTAGGGCCCACTCCCTTCTGATATTGTTCCCTTGAAGGAGTGCCCGAAGGCAAGCCCAGGACCACTCAGGATGACTAAGCTTAGGCTACTATATTGAGTCTAGGGTCCACCCATCTTGCCACATATGTACTTATTCCCTCCCTGAACTATTGTGTGTTCACCCCTAGGTCACCCCCCTCCTATTGCTTGTATTGTCTATGTTACAACCCCTTCCTATGACGTAGGTTGTCATGAGGCTTGCATGCCCCCAAAGATATATAAGCTTTGGTTAGAAATTAAACCTTGCAAGAGCTCTCTCCTGCCCTCTCGTCCCCCACCTCCACGTGTACCACCAAGAGGAGCTGAGGTGAGCATGCTACCATGAGATGTGTCTGACTTCTTTATTTTATTCTCTCTCTCCCATCTCTCCCATTTCCCTACGACTTTACTATGATCTTTACATATCTTAACTGTACAATTGAGCTTAACAAACCCACGATTAGTTATGGGGGGCTGGTTACCCCCACATCAGAACATCATACACCTGTAGGCATTGAGACATGATTCAGAACTTGAGGAGATAATGGGTACTAGATGGCTTTAAAAGAATGATGCTTGTACAATTAGAAATGTAAGTGGAAGCAGAAGCAGTTACAGCAGAAGAAAGAGGAGGAAACTGGATCCCTACCTCACGACATATAAAATCCATTTGGGCCCCAAAACATATTTCAACATCAGCTTGCTGGCATAGGGTTCCTCCAAGAAGTTGGTGGAGCTAGATTTCCTTATCCAGTGAGCGGAGTGAGAGCCGAGCACCATCTAGCTGTGGAGCTGTGAATGACTGATCCTCTTTGAACTAGGAAATGGAACATGACACCAGAGGATAGAAGGAGGCGTGGTAGAGTTGAGGCAGCAGAAAAACCAAGGGTCTGTGACAGTGCCGTGGGCTTCCTGGCTGAGAGAGAGTAAAGTTGAGTGCCTTCAGGCAGAAGACTCATTTGCAGAGTGGTTTGCCTCTAGGCACTTAACCAGAGGGGCTAAGTTTGCTGGCACACAAAGCTAGAGATAAAAGTCTTTGGGCTGATATTTGTAGCTGAGAAGAGCGCCCTATGGCCATTTATCAGCGGTACTAAAATAATTTTGTAGTGGTGCCAAGCAGGGCAGAAGCCAAGGGGCTCCGTATATGAGAGGCTGAGGACCAGAGAGGCATGACTAATAAGAAGCCCTCTTGACCAAGGAACTGCATCCTGAGCATTGCTGATCTGGAACTGTAACATGTGAACTTCCTTACCTGAAAATGGTGAGTACTGCTTGTGAGCTTTCTGTGGTCATTGCCATGGATTGGAAAACCCAGAAGAGAAGTGGAGTGTGTTTAAGGAAAGGCAGTTGGTGTCAAAATCGGTAAGGTTCAAGAAGGAAGGCGTGTCTGATCACCACCTCATGGGAACTGGCCTTGGGCTGATTATGAGTTTGATTCTCTCTCAGCCGAGTCCAGTCAGAGCAGGCCAGACATGCCCTCCACACCATTTTTAATGGCCACTGTTTAGCGGAGGTACTTCCGGTGACTAACTGGCAGAGCTAAAAAAGAGTGTTGTAACCCTTTCCCAGAGCAAGGCAGGGGCCAATGACTAGAGAGAGGCATGCCTGTGGATAATAGCAATTGAAGAACTGTATCCTGAGTCATTTCTAATCCCAATTTGTAGCCTGTTACTGCCCTAATGAAGCCGATCGTCTGTGAGTGTTGTCTGGGCATTTGTGCGGCTGTCATAACAGATTATGGAACAGAGCAGAATAGGTAGTGCCAAAGGAGGGGCAGTTGGTGT